TAGAGGTACCTTCAGTGTGTTCCAGCTAAGTGAAAGGAGGAAGAGAAAAAAGGATTGTTCTCTCCTCTGTGGGAAAAAGCACATCCAAGTTTATTTCAGTTTAAACTGAGCAAATGGGAAAAATGAATTCTGTTCTTGGTGGGATTCTTTAAAACATTCCTCTCACAGAGACCACATGGAGATGGCAGTCAGACTTGGCAAAGCTTGACCAGCGTTTTTGAAGCTACCGCATTAAACAAATGAAGGTGACAGCAATAATATTTGCCCAACCCTTGGTTCCAACAGGGGTTAGACAGACTGAGCTTTCACTGCACGAAAGGAGATGTCAGGAGCACCAAATGGGCTCAATTTTCCCTGGAGTCCGAGACAAAGTTGGTCTGTTTCTAAGCTATGGATAGGAGGTTACTTTCTCCAGATGTTATATTTAGCCAAAGCAATCTCCGACACAACTTCATGCAAAATGTATAATATGTCCCAGGAGACATAACCACAAACCAGAGGGCTAGCAAGGAGCATCCCTTATGGGGGTTCAGCAGCATAGAGGGGCCAATTGTGCAGCCATCCTGACTTCCCCAAATTAGCTGAACTAGCTGTGAGCCAGATTTGTGGGCAGTTCTCACATTTAATGAGTCTTTGTTTCCCTCTCACTAGAGACTCTACCTCGGGGGAGAAAAGCATGCTGCCCTAGTTCACCCCCAACTTCTAGCTGCTTCCCAACACCAGGTAGGAGAAATAATCCAATGTTGATATGTAACACCACTACACTCTTTGAAGGTTTATGTACAAAAGAAAAATCTAGATTAATTCTATAACCTAAGTGAAATACCTAGATAAAATGGAAAGAGTAAGAACATCTGGGATACCCTCGTTCCCACACACCATACCCACAGGGTCCTAACAGAGCATGTAAATGGAAACGCTGGGTTCTAGAGCCAGGTGCCTGGATTTAAGTACTAACCACACCTCTTTCTTGCTTAATCTCTTTAAATCTCAGTCTCTTCCTTCATAAAACAGAAATATTAACACTATTACTATTACTTTCAGAATAATTATAAGGATTAAAGGAGATAATGTATATAAAGGACTTAACATAATACATGGCACACAAGGATTCTAAAAATACTGATTTTTATTACCATAACTTTCTCTAGTGACTATTCATGTTTTATAGATTAAAAAAAAGTTTAAAAAAGAGGAACACCTGAGACTTTCACTCGTGACAAAATAGATTTAAATTCACATAAAGCGCAGGTATCCACAGCTAAACAAAAAATAAAGGTATGTTTTCTGAAGTCTGTATGCCCCGAGAAATGAATTTTCCTTTTGCTGCTGTAATTAAATTTACTGGTAATCCAAAGGGTATATCAATTTTGTACATTTGCATCCCAGTTTGACATCTCTTGGTTCTCGGCCATTATAGATAAAAGCATCTGAAACAACACTTCGTTCTTCAAGAAATTTGGTTTCAGTTGCTCAGGTTAGCCCTTTCCACACTCCAGCTCACTTTTCTTTACCCTGATTTTGGAGACTGTCATTTACCTCAGCTGAACAAAGTTACCCACCATCCAGAAGGAAGCCCCAGAGTAGGATACGCTACACATCACAGAATTGCAGCTTTTTGGATTCAGAAGGTACCGTGGAGACCATGCAGCCCAAACTCTTCACTTCAAGTTTAGGAAATTGGAGTGTAAAAAGAAGTAATTGTCAAAGGTTTTGGAGTTAATAGCAGAGCTAGGCCCAGGAGAAAGGGTCAGTTTCTCTGCTCTGAGAGCACAAAGCAAACACCAGAAGCTTCTATAAGTGACAGGTGGCCAGGAGCATTTCTTAGGTCTCTTATTTGATTACTAGAACTTAACAAGTAGGGTTCTAATTCTTCACATGCAACATTCTCCAAACAAAAAAGACTGCAAACTTGGAGTACGGGGAATGTTTCTCTGTTCCTTACTGGAAAGCCGACAGGCTCTCACCCAGCAAACCAGAATGAATCTGCTCTTACAGACTGGGATCTTAAAGGAGAGAAAAAAGAGATTATTCACCCTGTGGGATAGTAAATACTGGCCACTCAACAATCCAATGCATATCTCAGGTCAAGTACAACTGAGGCAAAGTTATAAAGATCAAAGGAAAGTTCTATGACCTGCAACTATGCCCAACCATGTGAATCTTACAAACATAAGTTGAATGAGAGAAACCAGACACAAAAAGAGTACATACTGTATGATTCTATTTATATAAGGTATGAACCCAAGCAAAAGTAATCTCTGCTGCTAAAAGCCCAATTGTTATTTGTGGGGACTTGAAGGGGAGACAACTAAAAGGACAATTTGAGGGGCGCTTCTGGGGTGCTAAGATAGTGTGTTTCTTGGTCCAGGCGCTGGTCACACAGGTGTGTTCAGTATGTGAAAATGCATTTAGCTATAAAGTTATGAAACGTGCACTTCTCTGAAAATGAATGTTATATTCTTCAAATATAAACACTCCTGTGAAAAATGAGAGACTCTTCCTTGTGCCCCCACCACAGAAAAGCACAGCGTGGGGAGGTCAATCCTGAGACCAATGTCAGGAATATCAGCCAAGCATGGATTTTTGCTTGGAGGTGAGATGCCCATGTTACATGCCATACACTTAGGTATTTGGGGAAATGTGAATGGGGCACTTAAGGAGCCAGGGACACTTGGGGCTTTGATATCTGCTTTTGGCATAAATGTGTCAGAGCTCTGGAGAGGCTAGAAGACACTCAGCTTGTTTCTTCTTTAACTTTTTTTTTTTTTTAAAGATAGAATTAGTGAGTGAGAGAGACAGAGAGATGGGGAAAGAGACAGAGAGAAAAGTCTTCCTTCCGTTGGTTCACCCCCACAATGGCCGCCACGGCCAGAGCTACACTGATCCGGAGCCAGGTACTTCCTCCTGGTCTCCAATGTGGGTGCAGGAGCCCAAGCACTTGGGCCATCCTCCACTGCCCTCCCAGGCCACAGCACAGAGCTGGCCTGGAAGAGGAGCAACCAGGACTAGAACCTGGTGCCCATATGGGATGCCAGCGCCGCAGGCGGAAAATCAACCAAGTGAGCCATGGCGCCGGCCCCTCTTCTTTAACTTTCTAAGGCTAAGAGAAAAGCAAGGTAAGAGCCTGGGAGAAGTCTACATAGGTAAATATCTCACACAGAAGTTTTTTCTGAAACAAAGAGAGAAAATGGAGAGGGAAACTACAGTCAACCCTTTCCTGCTCAAGACAGTCTAAGTGTTTGTCAAGGTCACAGAGAGGAGCAGAAGTGCTATCTGATGACTGTCCAGTCTTCAAGGTTTTACCTAAATAGGTTTTAATTTTAGTGACACACACATATGTCACCAAGTGTTGCAGAATAATTCAAATTAATGACAAGCAAGCTGGAGCAGATGCTAGAAACCACGGATGAGATGGAAAAGCACCCTCACCCGAAAATGAAACATGGCCCCAGCCACAGCACAGCTAGGCCTCTAAAAATAATCAGTGAACTCTGGCAGGGAACTCTCTTTCTCTTGCTTCTTCTGTTTTTTTTTTTTTTTTTTCATCAGATAATTATACCCTCAATACTCTGTTTCTGAGACCTAGGGAAAGCCCCATTCAGGGATGCAGTTACATGGATGGTGAATTCTAAATCAGTTCTATTTTCAGATTGGTAAAAAACAAGAAATTGCGTTTAATTCCAGACCTGGTAAGAACTGGAAAACTTCCTAACATTAAGAATTGGGAAACTGGGGCCAGTATTGTGACAAAGCAGGTGAAGTTGTCACCTGCGACACTGACATCCCACATGGGCACAGGTTCAGGACCCAGCTGCTCAATTTCTGATCCAGCTATCAGCTGGTGTGCCTGGGAAAGCAGAGGAACGTGACCCAAGTACTTGAGCCCCTGCACCCACATGGAAGAAGAAGTTCCTGGCTCCTGGCTTTGGATCAGCCCAGCTCTGGCCATTGTGACCATTTAGGGAGTGAACCGGTAGATGGAAGATCTCTCTTTCTCTCTCTCTGTCGTTCCCTCTCTCTCTCTCTGTAACTCTACCTCTCAAAAAAATAAATAAATCTTAAAATAAAAAAAGGGAAAACTGACCAAGAGCTATGGATACATCAATAAAAACCTATTTATCAAAGTCCTTTCTCTACTAGCCTCAAATATTAACACTAGATTTTATGAATGAAAACCAATGAAAATTCTAAATAGCCTTATAGGTCCTCTTTCTCCCTGCAACTTTGGGAAGCTTATTCACCTTCTGGAAAATCTTCTTGGGGACCTCAGAACTTGAATGTTAGACATGGTATTATCATGTGGCCCTTTGCCACAATTGGTAATGATGCCTCATGACTACATGTCTCCACTAAGAGCTCAGAGTTGAGAGAGCTTAGAAAAGAGGCCTGAGTTTCCAAGAGACTGGTTCTATCATTGTCAGGAAAGACGAATTTAGTAGAAATTCCTTAAGATTATCACAATTCTTTTTATTTTTCCCTTGATCAAATTCCTCAATCTACACTCAAGGAATTGTGATAATTCAGCTTCAGAAAGCACCAAGGAACCTAAAATAAAGATATGCCATGATGAGAATCACCAAATTCGGTCCACCTTGGCCAAGAGGAGAATTGACAACATAAACATCTACGAATTTGCTAAACGAACCAGAGGAGGAACACATGAAATGATACAAAGCCCTTGAATTTCAACAGCTTCACAAATCACTTGAAGGAAACCAACTAAAACAGTCATTATGAATACATGCAGATTAGGGACTATGGTACCAGACCAAGGGTTATATCTTGCAAAGTTATCTTCCCAGGGCTACCGTTAATTCAGCTCAGAAAGGAAGAAAAGAATACCAATTCAAATATTTTTTTTCTATGCGTATGAATGTATTAGGGAATGACTAGTAGGAAGCCTTTTACTTGTGGGCCAATAAGGTATTCTTCCTCTTGTTTACAAGATGGTGTCACTGTCTACCCAAGGACCTCTGCCAGCAGGAATAGCCACACACCTTTTTAAAGAGTCTTCCTGAGTCCTCACTGACTTGGACAAACCGAGGGATGATATTATTCAGGTAGATGTCACTCAGGGTGGTGTGGTCCCTGCTCTCTCGCTTCACTTGGTTTAAGAGGAGGTTCCAGCAGTTGACCGGAGAGAGAACATTCTGATCCTTCCTGCAGAGAAATGGCAAAGCAAAAAACATCAGTGTTGGTAAGCAGCCAGGGCCAACAGCTACAGTTACAGTCCCAGTCACAAAATCCCAGCAATCAAAGCAGAACCAGAAATAAAGGCCTCTTTCCCGAAAACTCAATGAACAGCAGTGAAAAAAAGAACAAGAAGGAGAGAGAGGGGGGAGAAAGAGGAAAAGGGTAGAGAAAGAGGAAAAGAGGAGAAAGAAGAAGAGAAGCAGGATTCTCTGTTGAGCAGCTATTGTGTTCTAGGTACTTGGTGAATTCTATGTGTGTATTATCTCATTTAACTTGATCATTTCATTACAAGCCAAGAACTACCATTACCGCCATTTTACTGATTAGAAAACTGAGGTTCAAAGGATTTGTCACTTGCCCACAGCCAGTAAAGAGGAGTCAGGGACTAGAACCACAGCTCTGTACTGTCCAACTAGAATCTGTCTAGGCTGTCTAACTCAAAGTTAGACATAATTTTAGCCACTGAGCCATTTGGTTTTTCTCTAGAGTTACAAATGAAAGTTACAGAGATTTTATCTAGAGCACTACAGACTAACTTCCCACAAGTTATCCATTGTAGGAGTCAGTGGAGACGAACTTTGGAGCTATCTACCATGAAAGTCCCTGCACACTCTTCAGTTCTTTGAAAGAGGTGCTCATTTCATTGATTGAGTCGTGATCTCATGTCCCACAAGCAAGAACACAAGCTGTATGTAAACATATATATTACTACAGTGCCCACAGCTTGAATGGAGCAGTAAAGTACTAAATCTAGATGTTCATCACTAGTGAAAACACTGTGATCCAAAGAATTATACAAGACTAACTCAGTTCATAGCACTAATTTAAACCACAGAAAGTTCTGCACTTTGAATCCTTAAGGAGAGAAACAGAAAAATCTCTGGCAGTATAGTTTACGAACGAATACTGACTGCCCACTTAGCACCTGGCTAGGCCCTTTACGCTGTTATTTAACATAAATTCCACAACTACCTCATGAGGTAGGTGTTATTAACCACATAGGGCAGATGAGGAAGCTTAGACCAAAAACAAAGGTTAGACACCTTGCTCAAGGTTACATCTCTAATAAGCAGCAGCGCTGGAATTCAAAACAAAGTCTGTAATTACAAAGAAAGTATTCTCAAGCTCCACAAAAATAAATAAACAAACAAATCACATTCTGTTCATGCCCTTTCCCTCATCCACCCTTCAGGCAGTCTCTTGGTGCACACAAAGTGAACTGAGAGTAGCTTGATACTTGAATCAGCACTGCTTCCCTTCAGGGCTGGAGGCTGCCAGGCACCTGGGATTTGTAAAGTACGGAATCCAACTTCGAAGGGCTTTTCCAATTCTGCAGTAATAACTACCAACAATAACCATGCCACACTGACTTCAGCTTCAGAACACATCAGACCAGCAAAACAAACATGTGTCTAAGCAAAACCAAGGGACTGCTTCAGTGAGAATTTAAGTCCAAACCGAAACTATTCTTAGCCTGCCCCCTCACCCTCTGCTCCAGGCACTGCACTTCTGTACCCATCATTGCTAACACTCATGTGCCAAGTCCTGTGGTAGCATTAGGCCCACTCATCTTTTTGGAGAAATGAGAATATTTCTCTGAAAATGTAAAAAGCATAGTTGTCGGGGAGAAAGACATATAATTAATCCAATCCTTTCAAAATGCTTAGCATCTGAAAAAGTGAGGAGTAGGAAAAGATCCTAAATTCAAAATGATAAGAGATTTAAGCGCATGTATTCAATGATATTTGATGTTTCCACTGCAAGAAGACTTCCAAATTGATTCCTAATCAATTTCACTTATGAAATCCTAAATAATCTAATTTTTATTCAAACCAAATGATTTCTCTTGGCAAGATACTCAGACCCTCAAATAAGTATGGTATATTCGAGGCAATTACATTTGCTTTTTATTTTATTTTTTAAAGATTTATTTGTTTACTTGAAAGTCAGAGTTACACAGAGAGAAGGAGAGGTTGTGGGGGAGAGAGAGAGAGAGAGGGGTCTTCCATCCGCTGGTTCACTCCTCAGATGACTGCAGTGGCCAGAGCTGTGCCGATCCGAAGCCAGGAGCCAGGAGCTTCTTCCGGGTCTCCCATGTGGTTGTAGGGGCCCAAACACTTGGGCCATCTTCTACTGCTTTCCCAGGCCATAGCAGGGAGCCGGATCAGAAGTAGAGCAGCCAGGACTCGAACTGGTGCCTATATGGGATGCTGGTACTACAGGCGGCGGCTTTACCCACTATGCCACAGCGCCGGCCCCTACATTTGCTTTTTAAAAGGGCAGATATTAGCAGTGATGGCTCAAGTAATGGGGTTCCTACTACCTGGATTGAGTTCCCAGCTCCCAGCCCCATGTTGGCCCAGCCCCTGCCATTTATTGTAGACATCTGGGGAGTGTATCTGTGAATGGGAGCTCTCTGTCTTTCTCTCATTCTCTCTGCCTCTCATATAAAAAATAACTTTTAAAGAATTATGAAAAAAAAAGGAGGGGTAGATTTCTCAAGACATTACATTTACAATTGTTTTCAATCTGCACCTTATTGGAGAGCATGGAAGGCGGTCTACGTTAGGTCTCTTCTACAGCATTTTACATACACACAAAATAGTGTCACAATGCAATTCCACAAATGTATGAGCACTTATATCTTAAACGAACAAGGTACAGTATTAAGTGCTTTAGTGATTAGAAAAGTGTCAGTGTCAGAGTATGGTATGAGAGACAAAGAAAGACCTGTAACAAGCAAAACTTTAATAGAGGTATGAACAAAGGGCCAGCTAGTTCATGAATGCACACCACAGATCACAAGAGGAGGAAAAGCCAATCTAACACCATGGAAAAGGATTCAGAGCCTACATTTCAGGGTAGCCTTTAAAGAAAGGATGAGTAAGCAAAGATGGTTCATCAAAAGAATGGGTGGAAGTGGGAATCTTTCAAACATAAAGTGGCTTCTCAACTAAATTTTATTAAGGACTTTTAGGGCCCTATAAGTAATTTTATCACACATATTTATTTACATCCTTACAGCATGTAATGAGACAGCTATTAATATTGGTTTCAGTAAGATTTATTTATTTATTTTTAAGGCAGATTTAGAGAGATAAACAGAGAGAGAGAGAGACAGACATAGAGTGTGAGATCTATCTACTAGTTCACTCCCCAAACGGCTGCAATGGTCACAGCTGGGCCAGGCCAAGGAGCCAGGAGCTTCTTCCAAGTCTCTCACATGGGTGCAGGGGCCCAAGCACTTGTGCCATCTACTGCTGCTTTCCCAGATGCATTAGCAAGGAACTGGATCAGAAGTGGAGCAGCCAGGTCTCAAACCATTGTCCACAAGGGATGCTGGTTCCACAGGGCAGCAGCTTTACCCACTACACTACAGCACCAGCCCCAAGCAGGAGCTTTTAAATAGTGTTCTGTGTAACTCCAGAATTAACCACACTCCAGTTAAGATAACTGTAACATGTCCATTCATATGAGAGTCCCCCATTCAAACTCAGGACCCAGTTTTCCAGCTTTAGACACTACCAGAATGTCTTATGCGCTGCCAGGTGAGCTTTGTTGAACACAGGCTTTGAAATAAGGAGTCCCTGCATGCACTGGAACTTCTGAACAATGTGCTATTGATTAAAATGGATGTAGTTCTGCATAGGCTAATTTTTAAATTCAAGTTCATGTGTGTGTCTTCACATAAAGCTGCACAGGTGAACACCTAACTTTACAGGCAGCAGCCAGGTTCAAATACACACCAGGGCTCAGGGGATTATGCTGGTTTATGGTAGATGGTGGTTGAGAGTTGAGAATCAACGTATTCAATATCATACCACCTCATTATCATTAATTGTTTTAATGCTTATATATTTTAGGGCTTATCCAATTAATATTTATAGAGGAGAATGGAAATATCTGTTAGATAATGTTAGTGATTCAACTTTTCAGCACAGCGTCCTTCTTTTTCAAGCATCTAAATCAATACAAAACTATCTCAAGATGACAGTAACTCTTCTGTGTGAATCAACACTTCCTGAACCTGATATAAAATTGTAACTCTTACTCATAATTCAGATTTCAGTATTTTTAGTTCATAAACACAGCCTCATTTTCACATTGACTCTGTCATAAGTACTCTTCCTAAATTTGTATTCTAATAGTAGATTTACATCAATAAATCACTGCTTTGACCTGTTTCCCATATTGGGGTTCTCTGCAAAATTTTTACTCTAAAAGAAGAGTCTATGGCTTAAACACACACACACACACACACACAACAACATTAGAACCTGTTGCCCATTTTTTCTAGGGTTTCCTCATCTCCTGCTAGTCCCGAAGCTTTTTATACAGTATTTCTGCTCCTTTAAGTGCGTATGCTTTCTCAGACATATTCCTCCTTTCTACTGAGGTGTTTTAATGAATTCCTTGATTTATTTTTGGACAGAAGTGGGGCAGGAGAGGTGAAGGGAATGTGGGAAGGCAGGAATACAAATATACTGTACAGACAATTTTCCTAGCCAACACGAACAAAGATGAAACTCACTTCAGGCTGGAAAATAAGCAAGTCAACGAGACGTGATTTCATAGGGAGCATATGAAGGCTCTGCTAGAGTGGTTTCCTGCTCCAGCAGCTTTGCAGCTTTATTTTATTTGGGGCTGCTGGAGCCAAGGGATCTCTGTTGGGTTAGGGGATTGAAATTTGTCTTTATATCTTTTCCATCTATCATCTGTTTGCACAGTGTCTTTACTTTCCCCACCCCCAGAGCCTTAGGTTGTGTAATACTTGGACATTGAAAGAAAAGGGTCTGCATCCCTTAGGAATGTGCTGAACAGCTGCAAACCTCCTCAAACGCTAATCCCTAAAAAGCAGACAAAATATCCAGAAGTATTTTTCTTACTTAAAAAAATTTTTCAGGAGCAAGATCAAGAAAACATCATACTGTACTTGAGGGAGAATGACTCTTAGTCAAAAGAAAGGA